AAGACACCAGTGATCGAAGACCTCCAATCGTTTGATGTCCTCAGCTCTCAGCGGCCAGGTTTCGCAGCAGTATAGTAGGACTGGTCGAACTGCTGTGGTAAACACATTGAGCTTGGTTTTGTGGCTGATCTCGTTCCGGCGCCATAGGGTGGTTCGGAGCTGCAGAAACACCGCTTAGGTCGTGTCGATGCGCCGCTTTACATCATCTTTGGCTTATCCATTGGGTAGGACCGTGGACCCAAGGTACTTGAAGTCCGATACGATTTCTATTGTCTGACCATCCAGTTGAAGAGGATGTTCCGCTTGATCAGCAGGAGTAGCGAACATCTTGGTTTCTTCGGGATTAATATCAAGGCCGATCTCAGAGGTAAATCTTTTGATACGGTTGAGAGCTGTTTGCAAGGCGGTCAGGTCCTCTCCAAGCACTATCACGTCATCGGTGAATTCGAGGTCAGTTATCCAGCAATCTGCGGAAACTTGGACGCCTTGGTAACCTTCCGTTGTCCGACGCAGAATCCAATCAACGGCTAAGTTGAACAACATTGGAGATAGTGGGCATCCTTGTCTTACACCTGACCTTAGATCGAAGGGATGAGACTCTTCGCCGTAGGCACAGATACGGGCTTTGGTTTGGGTGTAAAACGATCTCACTATATTGACCAACTTTGCAGGGACGCCATCTGAAAGCATTATCTTCCACAATGACCCGCGGTCCACTGGATCGAATGCGGCGCGAAAGTCAATGAAACATGTAGCGGTGGGGCGCTGAAACTTGTATCGGTGTTTCAGAATTCGCCTTAGGATGAAAATCTGATCGATACATCCTTTGCCGAGTGGGAAGCTTCCTTGGTTTGGCCGCGTACGTGCATGCTTCACTGTAGTAAATCGACTAAGCACAAACTGGGTAAACGCTTTTGCAGCCATATCTAGCAGACTGATGCCCCGATAATTCTCGCAAAGTGTCTTGGGGAACTGAAGCAAAACCGAGGTGTTCCAATCAGTTGGACATGTTTCGGTCTCCCAAATGGAGTGAAAGGGAGAGTGAAGCGGTTTGATGTCCACTAGAAGGCATTTCTTGTATATTTCTGCCGGGATTGTCTTCACCAGGGGCCTTGCCAGACTTCAAGCGACCGATCACTGAGGAAGTTTCTTCTATCATTGGGGCATCACAGTCGGCCTCGTATGGGGACGCCATATCGGGATGAATATCCGCCGAATTGCCCAGCGGATGACTGAGAAGTCGACTAAAATGTTCTACCCATCTGGTCATTCTACCGTCGATATTGAAGATCAGTCTCCCGGAGGAGTCGCGCAGAACGGGTTGTAAAGATTGCTTTCTACCGAACTCTGATTTTATGAGGCGAAAGAGATCTCCGAGGTAGCATGCACCGGCTGCGGTTTCCATCTTGATCGCTATTTCGTTCCAGTAGTTTCGCCGATCTGCTTTTGCGGAGCGGGTTGCTTCTCGTCTGAGTCGCTGGTAATCGTGGTGGCCCGCTAGAAGGGCGTTCCTGGCCAGGGTTGAGCGACGGATGATTTCATCTGATATCCAATCTTTGTAGAAGCGTTTCGTGGTGCCAAGTTTGTTCAGTGCAGCTTGTTGTACTGCAGCTTTTATCCTGGACCACTGCAGATCAGTGGAGTCTGCTACGATGATCGATGGGGTAGACTCATTTGCCAGTCGGGTTTCAATTTCATCCTTCAGTGTTTTTGATTTCTCGCAACACTAATGAGCCCACATTGATGCGACTTGGATGGGTGGTCTTGTATCGGGTAGTCAGCCGAAGGCGAAGTTTCGCACGAACCAGCGTGTGGTCGGAACCACCTGTTGCCCGCTTCGGCACCGCGATACGATCTACAGTCTTCTACTGATNGGAGTCTGCTACGATGATCGATGGGGTAGACTCATTTGCCAGTCGGGTTTCAATTTCATCCTTCAGTGTTTTTGATTTCTCGCAACACTGTAATGGGCCCATATTGATGCGACTTGGAGGGGTGGTCTTGACACGAGTAGTCAGCCGAATAGCGTATTTCTCAAACATCCAGTAAAAGTAGTTGGCTTCCTCCCCGTTTATTTGACGGAAACTGGTAAATGAAGTCGGTGGTAGCATTATATACGTATATATATTAACTTGGTCCTGGAAACAGCCTTGGCATACAGGTTGCGTTATTCTCCCTGGTTGAGGACCTCGAGCTCCGCGTAATTTATTGCTAGAGATATGAATGCTGTAAACGGTGGTGATGGCTTATCTCCTCCATTTCTTCTTAAACTTCTTCCATATGAATCTTTATCTTTGCCAAGGTTTTATATTTTCTTTATCCCTTCACACATGTTGGCGTATAGGTGATTCTGATACTAGTCAGTTCGACGGTTCATGTATAGCAAGAACAAAACAGTGACCTTCCACTAATTCGATAAATCTCTGGCTACTGGTGAGTGCCCATATTGTCAGGGGGTGTTTAAGCATGTTGGAAATTGGAGTGGCTGCGTCACAGGCTTATGACTTTACATACTATTTTTTTACTTTATATTACTATCTCCTGCGACAGGATGAGTCGGCTTCATAAATGCGGTCACTGGCGAGATCAGCATAGACTGATATCCACCTTTGGTTCCAATCTCGGGAACCGAAGCCAATTTGGAGGCTCAGACATTGTCAGATTTTATGATATTGATCCAGGTTTTCAGATGGCCATTACGACGGCAGCACTATTCGGGACATGGCGTTGAGGCGATAGTTTGTTTCGTAAGATTTGAGGCTGGTTTAGGGAGTGATAGGCAGGTCTGCAGTTGCCCAACTCTCTGCCACGATTGACCTATTGAAACCGTATGTGGTTCGTCACCACAGGTCTCAGGATCCTGCTTGCCCGTTTCCTTCTCACATAAACAAACAAAACCGCTCACGCTCTCGCTCGCCCTACTCAATCTTTAAAACAATATGTTCTGATCACCCTCACCAACATTTACAGACCAAACCGCAAAATTGATTCTGTACATCGATTTCTCCTCTCGCCCTATTTTGACCGAAACACACATCTCCCCTAGTCAGAAACCACCCACTTTCCACTCGTGTTCTGAACAAAGCGGGTGTTTGCGCTTTTATCTACCAATCAGTCACCGCCTGCAAAACAGCAAATTTTGATTTTTCCAATAGTGTATTTCAACTCATTTGGCTGAAGATTTGATTTCGTCTTTCCACTATTAGTTTTGTGCTCTGTATCGTTTCCCCGCTGCCTGGTAGTTAGGTTCTCATCAGAACTAAATGCATTGGACGAGAAACCAAATCGTTCTCCTACTTAGTGGCTGGACACCCTAGCAGTACCCGTTAATCACACCCCAATGCGTAAACAAACTAAAAATAATTCCATACTGCATCGGTCGTCGCGCAGGATAATCAGGAACGCGCTGCCCATTGCATCGAGCGCGGTGGGTAGTGATAAGTGGGCTACTGCTCAGATTTTCCCACCGTCGACCAACAATCGTAGTGTTCACTGAACTGAAAGGAGCCTTC